TTTCGCAAACCCCATTCCTCACATATGGGAGGAGTGTGGGAAAGGATGATTGGCATCGCTCGCAGAATTTTAGACGGCATACTACTAGGGGTTTCATGCTAAAAATCTATCACACGAAGTTTTAGTTACTCTCATGGCTGAGGTTGTTGCTGTTATGAACTCTAGACCAATTGCCCCTATCTCAAGTGACGCAGATTGTCCAGTTATGACTATCTCCAGCTACACTTTTGAACCAGAAAATCAATGGTGATTCGTCTATGTGTTTCGATTTGGATATTCGTGATTTGTACAAGAAACAGTGGAAGATGGTTCAAGTGCTCTCGGACATGTTTTGGAAACAGTGGCGAGACAGTTTCCTACAAACGCTTCAACCTAGGAGAAAATGGCAGACGCAGCAAATTTGTGTTAAAAATGGTGATGTTGTACTCCTTAAAGACAAACAGGTGCCAAGGAATGAATGGCCGGTTGGAATTGTGACCAATGCTATCAAAAGTGACGGTGATAAGTTAGTGAGAAAAGCTGAAATTCGAGTATGTAAATTCGGAAAATGTACTAAATTTACACGCCCAGTGACAGAGATGGTTGTCCTTGTGGAATGAACACAGTGTAAATAATCAAGACACCATTGTCATGCGTTAAGTGTTAAGAACAACATTCATCTATATAAGTGAAGTGTGTGATGGGATCACAGTGGGGGGAGTGTGGAGTTCAGGGTGAACTGTGTTTTTGTAACCTTTTCGGTAGTTTTATATCTTTTGCCTAAATTGATTCTATATATTGTGCTTACTGTATATGCCAGAAACGCATGCTGTTTTATTAAACCAAGTCATTTCTTTGTTTATTCCTATCCATATTGTGTAAGTTGATATTATGTTTGCTTATTTTGCATTAAATAATCTTTTTGTAAACTAAACTTTTGTAATATAGACTTTTAGGAGTAAAACGCTTAATTTGTTCAGTAGTTTCGTACTCACATTTGTTCGTTACAAATTTGTAATTTTGTGAATTTATGATGTAATGGTTAACTTACTTTAGTAACAAGTTGTTTTTAAGTTTCTATTCATCTTCCACTTTTAACTTGACCTTAGTGTTATTTGAAAGAAGTTCTTTTATCACACTACATACATGTTTATATTAAGTAAAAGTTGAATATTGTGCTTACTAAAGAAATCTTTATCACATATATTTTCCTTGTACTTATTAGGGTAAATTGTATTTTACAGTGATGGGTAGTGAATAATGAATGCAGAAATGTTGTAACGTCACCCTCGAGTGTTCACGACGTAGGTTTATCAAACATTTATATATATGTATCTTTTTGTCTACTTAGTCATTGTTAATCTACCATATATTGTTTTTACTAGTCAGTATTATATCTTAAATCATTTATTAGGATTTGTTTTTACTAGTCAGTATTATAACTTAAATCATTTATAAGGATTTGTCATTGTTTCATTTTAACTACTTTAACATGTTCATGATTAGATTGTAACTGCAGATTATTAAAGCATCTATAACTGCAGGATTTTGGATTACTTCCCTTTGTTGGTTATTAAAGCAACTTGGTCAGCATTAGGCTATTATCCAAGTATGTATTGTTATTCTGTAAATTTGAATATGTGTTTTTCTTTATATATTTCAGTTTTTACGATAAATGAGATTAAGCAAATTTCGTTGTCGTTGTCTTTCCACCGGCTAAGGGCGGAAAAGATACAGTTACCATAAACATGTGCTGTATGATACAGTTACCATAAACATGTGCTGTATGATACAGTTACCATAAACATGTGCTGTATCATACAGTTACCATAAAAGTGTGCTGTATGATACAGTTACCATAAATGTGTGCTGTATGATACAGTTACCATAAACGTGTGCTGTATGATACAGTTACCATAAATGTGTGCTGTATGATACAGTTACCATAAAAGTGTGCTGTATGATAACAGTTACCATAAACGTGTGCTGTATGATACAGTTACCCTAAACATGTTCTGTATGATACAATTACCATAAAAGTGTGCTATATGATACAGTTACCATAAACATGTGCTGTATGATACAGTTACCATAAACATGTGCTGTATGATACAGTTACCATAAACGTGTGCTTTATGATACAGTTACCATAAAGGTGTGTTGTATGATACAGTTACCATAAATGTGTGCTGTATGATACAGTTACCATAAAAGTGTGCTGTATGATAACAGTTACCATAAACGTGTGCTGTATGATAACAGTTACCATAAAAGTGTGCTGTATGATAACAGTTACCATAAAAGTGTGCTGTATGATACAGTTACCATAAAAGTGTGCTGTATGATACAGTTACCATAAAAGTGTGCTGTATGATAATTGTAACCGTTTAAGTGTGTCGTAGATAACAGTTACCATTAAGGTGTGCTATAGGTAACAGTTACCATTTAAGTATGCAATATATCAACAGTGACCACTAAAATGTTCGGATATTACTGACGTACAAGTATTCCGTTATGTTCGGCAAGCATTGTTACCACCTAATGGGCGGGGTCCCCTTGGTACGGATATTCCGATCTGACCTGCATATGACAGGTATTATCAATATATTATTCAAATGAAAATGAAACTAATTTCCCAAATTGACAATTTAGTAAGTCAACGCATTGATTAGTTGGCGAACTGCACTACGCAGTTAAGGTAGGTAGGTCACTTTTCTCAAACAAAAACATTGTTTGGGGATTAAATAGGGTATTTTGTCACTGTTTGAGGCCTCAAAAGGGGGTACAATTAATGGAACTGTGACTTGTGTTCACGTAAAATGAAACGTCACTTTAACATTAGACAAACAGTACTTGTCGTACTTGTCAAATAGTGTACATGTACATAGGAAGGGAGATACAAACAACTCAATCATAAATGTGCAATTTCATTTTTGGATATTGAAGGATATATATATACTAGCTGGTACTTTCCAACAATATTGATCTGGCACTTCATTAACTTTCGAAAAGATCATTGGATAAACACTGGTATCTAACGAATATATTAATAAACTTGTAAGTTTCACACGTCAGTGCGATGCGGTGTGTTAGTATAGATCTGAAGATCTCTGGTTCTATTCGTAACCAACACCACGATATGAAGTTTCTTTTTTCCCCTTTTTGAGGCCGGGGGTGGCTTTACTAGCAAGAATTAATTTGAAACCGTTTTACTACATGTGGTTTAAAGAATCATTTTTAGTTTTTTTATTCACAATTATAATTGTTTCATTTCATTGTATTATTTTTACTAAAAATTAAAGCGCGTTTATAATACAAATCAATGAATTGATAAATAAATCGTCGCCCCGAAGTGGCGGGGCTCGCAGCGAAAACAAGCTCATTAGCAGGGGTGCGAATAGTCAAAATATATTGACGTGCCAAAGCTTGATTCTGAGATATTTTCGTTCTGGGGCAGAATCTCGCTTTAAGTCCGAATATAACGTTCAATACACAAAAATATCTTGTTCAAGCACATTATGGTTGCAGACTTATACTTCAAGCATTTTTGGTTGCAAACTTATTCTTATTCTATTGAAATCCATAGTAAAACTTTGCAAAAGGATTGTAGTAGTTTATATTTATTAACCTATTTTCAATGACAATTATTGACATTTATGTTTTTTTACTAGTTTTTGTTATATTAATGTTATTTATACTTTCTTCTTTTACAACAAGTTGCACTTTATGTTACAAATTACATGGTTCTCAGTTCAGTACTATAATCATCAGTAAAAGCCTGCAAACAAAATAATAGCACATAGAAGAAAAATATTTATTGATACTTCAATTCTAAAATATGTCATCATATGTAAAATGCAAATGAAAACTACATACAAAACAAACGTATGTGAGAGTACTGCTGTATGTAAGTGAATTATTTTCATCATAAACATAAGGACATCTGCACACATACTATGGTACTCGCCAAAATTTCCAAAGTTTATCAAAACCACAATAAATGTTATTTTGTTTGTTTCGTATGTTAAGATCAGCAGTTGCTTTAGACATAAAGTATGTAAATGTACTTATAAACCAAAAGTTAAAATGACATGCTTGTTTACAATATTTCGGATTTGATGTACATATCATATATATCAATTGGTATTCTAAAAATTATTTTGACTATTAGATCATAATATAACTGATATACGATTGGTAATTTACATTGACTGATATGTGACAAAACTACTTAAAGTCATTGTTAGAGTTAGGTGTCGATTGGTCAATAATAAGGAAATATTTAAAGAAAACATGTGAATAATGCCCTTGTGTCAATATTAATATAGTTTGTATCTACTATATAATCAAATTAATTTCAAATCTCAAAAAAAGAACAATAATGAAAGCTGTTTGTTGCTATTTTTCTCTTCTTTTCCTTTACTGTTAATCATGCCAAGATAAAAAAAGTCCAAAGACTATGTAAAAAGAAACGAAGTATACCGAGGAGAAAAAATGATGAAGATAAACACAACTGAACTTCAATTTAGCATATTGTGTTTTATATCTATTTGGAAGACCCTGTGTTAGGATATATCTGCATGCATGCACAGTTTGTATATATATTTCTTATTAGATGAACGGGTATAATTGCCTAAATATTGCTAATTATTTAAAAAAAAAAAGATAAGTTTTCCTCGCTAAAAATATGCATACCACATTATTGACACAAAAGTTTGCAGCCAAAAATGCTTGAAGTATAAGTCTGCAACCAAAATGTGCTTGAACAATATATTTTTGTTTATTGAATGTTATCTTCGGACTTGCGAACTTAACCATTTGTACTGCATTGGCAGACACATATTTTGTTATTGTTAAATGCAGTTCAAAACTTACAAATTCGAATAAATTAGGAGAAAACCGACCAGGACAGTCACATGTCAAATTTCACGCGTTTAACTTTTGAGGCATGGAGGAGCACGTGACCTGTTTTCGGTACATGGAGGAGCATGTGATCTGTAAACCGTACATGATTGATTAATTGACCTTTTCGAAAACCTAGCTAAATACCGTTTGCCGATACGTTACGGATTTACCTTTAGGGAATTAGTCCGATAAAAAACTATTACGTGATATTTCGTGATATAATTATTTTACCGTTTAGGGTGAAAAAACTTGAATGATGTGTTTGAAAATTATCAATGTTTCTTTAAAATCTATCTCAAATTTTACAAATACTGAAAATCTACAAAATTAAAATATTCGTAGTGGCATCTGCCATAATAAATAGAGATATTTTCTGCGTAAACTTGTGTGTTTACTTGATTTTTTTTGCTCTGAATAATTCATAAAATGGTAGGCCTATTTAATCATTTTCTTTAAAAGAAATAATTGTTTTATCTTCGGCCTTCTCCGGTCTTCAACGGTCACCAGTTTCCAAAGACCTTCTTCTATATTGATCGATTATTGTTAACTATATTCCTGATACAAACGTTTATTTATCCCCCCAACAATGTTGAAAATAGTTAAATGAAATATCTTTATATCATTAAAAACATTCCCCGCAGGAAACCATTTTACTTGTAAGTGATTTTGAGTATTTGCCGCGTAACGTTTCACATTCTCCTATATGACGTCACCACATCATGACGTAACATCATTAATTTTAAAATATTGTTATTTATCACACACCCCTGCCGATTTTGCGACTCCGTAAAAAATGGTAATAAATTGCGCGGCCGTGCATATATTTTGACGTGACGTCATTAGCGTTTTACAAACTTAGTGTAAAGACGCGCTATCTTCTCAGAACTAGATAACACTATATCAGAGACAGAAGTTTTAGCGGCTTTGAAAACTTTTAAACGCGGAAAGGCAGGCTCTACTGGTAACTTTATCAATAAATTGTTCATTGAATCTGGTGATATATTAATAGGCCATTTAACAGATCTTTTTATCTTATGTAACAGGGTCTTATTTTTAAGATCAGCATTCGGAACTGCCTCGGCTATTATCTATAATAACCTCGGAAACAATACGGATTGAAAGTAGTTCTTCCACGTTGTTTACAGTTGTAAACAGAAACAGAGATAATGTAAAACGAATGTATATATTTTACATATAATGTCTGTTCCGGTACTCTTATGCTTGAAAATATGTCTGACAACAGTTTGTAATTTAAATATGCCCACTGATGTTCAATTTCAAACAAATCCGACTAAATGTCAACAGGTTGGTTTTTTTGTACTTTCGGTTTCTACAGCAATATTAGTAAATATATAAATAATGTATTGTTTGCTTTTGTACCTATGAATCACTTATCTTAGGTGGACTTTTACTACATATAATGGAATTAAACTTGTCAACAACTCCCAGCAATAAATTACTATTTGTTTACATGAATACCGCATCCGCTCTGTGTATTCATACTATTGTGTTCGAGGTCCTTATCCGAAGACTGACGGAAAGGGCCGATTAGTTGCGATTGTAAGATCAGGTCTAAGGGACAATGCTCTTGCTTTACTGTTGGATTTTATAATTTTGCAAAGGGGGTCAAATCCGCCGGTCTTGTCTGATACTTTTCCAGGGAGATTACTCTATTGGTTTTGCCGGCTCGCCGTGGCGAGCCGGTATTACGTTAGGATTTTACTGAGAAACAACCTAAAACTCCGAATCCATCCAAAAATTTAATCGAAGCTTAGCTTCCAGCTTTCTACAAAATTTATCTATCAGGGCTAGGATCCAAAATTTTT